CAGGTCCCATCGGTTCCACGGGTCCCACAGGTCCACATGTGTCGTAGGTTTCACAGGCGCCACAGGCCACAGAGGTCTCCCAGGTCGCACACTTCCCACACGTTTCCTTTTTTCCGACTGCTCATAACACGATTGTCTTTTTTGTGGAGTTCCAGGTCGGCTATAACACGCGTCCGCGGATAACGAAAAGCCAGCGCAATGGGAACGGATGGAAAGGCAGGCTATGATCTCAGATATGGCGCGAGCGCGCTTAATTTGACTCCTCCTCTCCCTCCCCACCCTGCCTCCTCTTCCCTTTGGCTCCTCCCTGTGGAAGTCGAGGTGATGCAGCTTCTCGCTGGCTCTAAGATCCTCGAGGTGGACCAGAGCCTCAAGGTCCGCCCCGCGGGCGGTGTCGGCGGCGGCGGCGTCGTGGCTTCGTGCCTCGTCCCCGCATTCGGCTACACGCAAGAGTGACCTCATTCGCTGGATTGGCCTTCCTGTAGGTTCAGGCGTCGCCATTTCACCATGTCATTGTGCCGTATTTCGGTCCCCAGGATTTGGTATCGGGGTGTCGTATCTTGCCACACCTGGCGTTTTCGCACAGTTTCGGGCCAGAGGACCCTGACAGGTCCATCCGGCTTGGACATGCCGCAGAATGATGGGGTCTAGGAATCTGTTTGTGATTATTCACGATGGTTTTATCGGTCGCGGCTTTCGGTCTTAGAATTTGGTGCTGGCCAGCTGGGCTCCCCCCCCCCAGCATTGGCTCACGCTCTTGGATTCCTCCCCTCCTGGCGGCCCCGTGGAGCCGCGTATCCAAAGGTCTCTCTTGCCTGGGGTCTTTCTTGGGTGTAGCCGACTTGGCTCCTCCAGGGATTCGCCAAGAAGCGGAGCTGTCCCGAGTGAGAGGGGGCTCGATGCCTTGAGTATGTTCCTGGGCCAGGTCCCCTGCCTTCCTATGGAGCTGCACGCACGAACCTGACAGCTCTATATTGTCTTTTCGTCGGTGCAGCTTTGGAGGTGTCGGCGCGTCGCCTGTGGCGGCCAGTCGATCCCAAACAGACCTTGCAGATTGAAGAAGAACGTGGCACGCTTCCCGAGCGCCCTGCGCCCCGACCCTCTAGGCCTGGCCCCCCAGGCATACGCAACCCATGTGACCAAGCGTTGGGCCACAGCCTGGCCAGGCTGTTGGACCATGTGACCCCCCTAAAAGATGTGGACGTTCTCGAGAGCACTCGTGGGAGGGAGGGCTAGAGACAGAGAGAGAGAGAGGGAGGAGAGGGAGGAGGAGGAGAACGAGGAGCTGAGGAGGAGGAGGAGGAGGATCAGGAGGAGGAGGATCAGGAGGAGGAGGAGGAGGGTGAGGCGGAGGCGGAGGAGGAGGAGGAGGAGGAGGAGGCGGAGGAGGAGGCAGCGGAGGAGGCTTTCTCGGGGCCGCCGAAGAAAGAGAGAGGCTCGATGTGACGAGCTGGTCCCGGGGGAGGGCCCCAGGGGCCAGGACGCGTCTCGCCCCAGGTCGGGGCACTTCTCTCGGGGGCGGCAAAGGGGGGGGTGATGATTAGGGGGAGGAGGAGAAGGAGGAGGAGGAGGAGGAGGCGGAGGCGGAGGCGGAGGCGGAGGAGGAGGAGGAGGACGAGGAGGAGGAGGAGGAGCAGGAGGAGGAGGAGAAGGAGGAGGAGGGTGAGGCGGAGGCGAAGGCGGAGGAGGAGGAGGAGGCAAAGTGGGGGGTGATGACTAGGGGGGTGTGGATATCGTGGCGTGGGCCATGATATTTTCCCAGATTTCACGGCGCCTCTTCTTATTTCATTACGTCCCTGGCCCCCCCGTTTGGCCGCGCACATGCCGCCTGTCATGATTTGCACCCCCCTTTCTTGGACGCCCCCCTCTTAGCCGCCCCCGATTCTCCTCCCGCAGAGGGGAAGGGGAAGACCGGACGAGTGCCAGCTGAGGCATCGGCCCTCGTCCGCCATCCTGCCTCCTCCCTGTGATTCTTCGTTCGGAGGTCGATAGTCCTCCCACCCTCGGTTTCGGTCCTGGGCCGTTTGCGCTAAAGGGTGTTTACTAAAGGGAGGTTTATCCATCGCCGACTCGTGGCGCCAACATCGCAGGGCGGATTGCGTTCGGAAAACAATTTGATGGGCCCGGATTGTCCTGGAGAGTGTTGTTCCGGATTTCGACGCGGATTTCGTGTTGATTTTTGGCCAAAAGCTACACACATCAACGTGAGATTCACCTTATTTTTCGCTCGCCGCTTCAGGGTTTTCGGGTTTTCTATTGACAGAAGTCCACACAAAGATCCGCGGCAGCACGTCTGCAAGGGTCGGTGCAGTGATCATTCCTGCTTCTTCATCCCCCTCCGTCTCCCTCCTTCCTCTTTCTTCCGGGTATGTTCGGCATGCAGGAGGTTCGACCTATAGAGTCAAGTCGGGTCTGTCCCACGCCCGACCTAACCATAGAGCTTCGAGGCTGTCTCTCTCTCTCTCCGCTTTCTTGGGGGGCCACCTGGAGGGCCCCCGTGGCCACGGCGGGGCGCGGCGCGAAACCTGCCGCGGCGTGGGGATCCAGGCCGCGTTTTGAGCGGAGTTCGTGGGGCGGAGACGGAGGCGGAGGCGGAGGAGGAGGCGGAGGAGGAGGAGGAGGAGGAGGAGGCGGATGAGGAGGAGGAGGAGGAGGAGGAGGCTGAGGAGGAGGAGGAGGAGGAGGAGGAGGAGGTGGTGTACATCCAAACCGCATCAACGACTTTGCAATCAACTCTCCCTCCAAGTTCCCTCTTCGTTAGCCCCTGCAATGATTGATTTTGATTGCGGTATGTGTCGGACGGGGCTGGGACGCAGATAAGTCTGTAAAGTCTGTTCCAGAGCGTTCTAGAACGCTCGCAGAGCGTTCCGGAACGCTCCGAGAAGGCCGCGGCGCCCGAGTCATCCTCCAGAGCCGCCGGATCTCAGATATTCTCGATTTATCTTCGCCCGATGTTGTCCTCGTCCTGGATTCGTCGGAAAGTGCCCCACTGGGAGACGACCGTCTGAGCGTCCTCAACCGTGCTGAAACACAATTTCTGGGACTGCAGCGCATCAAGTCAACGTGGCTATTGCATCCTGATAACCCTAAGTCGTGACAGAACGCCACTCCTGGGACTTCAACTCCGCGAGTCAACGTGACCATTGCGTCCTGACTATTCAATGTCGTGCCAGGACACCAGTCCAGGGACTGCAAGCATACGAGTCCTTGAACAGCTGCAAACTTTTGAGTCGAATGTGCACGGCGGTAAGGCGATAACGAAATTCTAGGTCCTCCATGCGTGTAACTCTCGCGAACTTTTAGAACGAATGTGTGCTGCGCTGAGAGAGAGAGAGAGATAAAGATAAAGAGAGAGAGAGAGCCACATTTGACATTTGAAAACGACCCGCCCTCCATCATTGAATTTGCTGCAAACTTTTAAGACGAATGTGCGCGGCGCTTAGAAGAGAGCGTCTTTTCAAAGCGACCTGCCCTCCATCTTCGAAGTCGTAGCAAATATCGAGCTCCGGGATCAGCAATGGTGAGGAAGTCTCAGGCGAAGCGTCTGGTCCGCCCTCCTGACACGTCTGGGGTGCCTCAGGGAGTGGGAGTTATTGATAAGGACAGGGATGGAGGAGCAGGAAGAGGAGGAGAAGGACAAGTGTAAGCCCAAGATGCATCAACAATGTTGCAATGCTCCCTACAGGGATTTTTTTTCACTGCGGGAAGTGCGCCGTCCGAAGACAACCGTTTGAACATCTTAACCGTACTGGGATTTCAACGCCGCGAATCATCGTTACTTTTGCGTCCTGACGTTCCCGAATCGTGCCAGAACACAGTTCCGTAACTTCAACACAGCGAATCAACGTGACCGTTGCGCCTTGACAATTCTAATTCGTGCTCTAGCATCATCTCTGGGACGTCAACCATGAGAACCCTTGACAAACTTTTGCAACGAATGTGCGCGGCGCTTCGGCGAGAGCCGCTTTTTGAAAAGGAGCCGCCCTCGATCTGTGAAGCTCCGGAAAACGTTTAAGACGAGTGTGCGCGGCACTAAAGCGAGAGCCACAGTTTGAAATCGGCCCGTCTTCCATCCTTGAAGCAGTCGCACATTTTGAATATACGGATTAATGAATGTTGAGGAAGTCTCAGGCGAAACGCCCAGCCCGCCCTACTGACCCGCGTCGGTTTAAAGAAAATGGATGGTGGAGGAGGATGAAGAGGATGACGAGGAGGAGGAGGAGGTGGAGGAGGAGGAGGAGGAGAAGGATCGAGGAGGAGGATCGATGAGACTCCACCGCCCGCAGCGTTCGGTCGTTGAGGAGGAGGAGGAGGAAGAAGAGGATGAGAAGGAGGAGCGGGAGGAGGCGGAGGAACAGAAGAGGAATGCTCCCCCCCTCCCCCCCCAGAAGGCCCACGCAGGACAAAGACGGCCCATACCTCCGTGTGTCGTGAACATTCACATTTGTTTGGTGTTGATTTTGAGGGGATGTTTTGGTCTCCCAGGGGCCCTCGCGGGGCACCGTTGGCGTAAAAACAAAGTCAGATGAAAGTCTGGTCCCAGGGCACCTTTCGGCACCCAAGCCTGACCAGCCTCATTAACTCCGCTCCCCAGCCTCACGGTTCCCCTTGTCGCTCACAGGTGCGAAAAGCTGAGAACGCTAATATCATGGAGTAGTCAAGGCTGCTTCGATGAGTTTTGATTCCTGAACCAGCCCCCAGTGCTCCAATGACGGCCCAAGACTTGCCCGAGAGGGCTCCAGGACGAGCCCACGGAACGCTGGAGACCAGAGAGCGCCTCTCAGATTTCCCCATTTGCACGATATTCTCTTCCCTGCTTGACGCCCCCCCCTCTCCCCCCTCCCCCGCCACCAATCTAGAACAAATCCAGATCTCCGTTGAATCATGCTGTCAGAGGTCTTTAGAGGTTTAGGAGGAGGAGTAGGAGGAGGAGGTTGAGGATGATGATGATGATGAGGGGGAGGCCGAGCTCGATTCCCGGCCCGCCCGAGGAGGACCGGATGCTCTTCCAGGGGGCGCAGAAGCTGTTCGGCATGCTCATCACGATGGGCGAGGCCAGACGCGCTCGTTGAACAACCCATTCTAACTGAGTCATCGAACTTTTTTACCCCCAGGCGATCATGGGCGTGAAGGGGGGCAAGCGGGGCCTGGCCAAATGCCCAGGAATGGATAATTCCCAGACGACGCTGGCGCGAATCGGGAAGTTTTTGGGATGGCGGTAACGGGCGTTATCGCGAATACTATAAAGATGGGCTCCAGAAGACGTACCTAATCATGCGTGCAAGTGCTGCCGTGTGCAGAGTCCTATTTCCTAGATCGCACTGGCCACTTTGAGTTGCCTCGTCGCTGACATGTACGTTCTGCCCTTCTCCCTGAAAGGATATTTTCGAAAGCGGCATGCGATGTCATGCGCCGTTGCGTGGGTTATCCTTTTGGCGTGTCGGATAAGATGTCGGCAGTGTTTGGGTAAAGTGTGCAGGAGTCTCTACAGCTGTAGTGGCTGTCGACCCATCCTCGCGCTGGGTCTGTGATGAAGTTCAGCTTGCGGATGCCACGACGCAGACCTTAGCGAAGTCTGTCATGGCGCAGATCTCGGACCAGCGTGGAATTCTGCAGTCTTCGAGCCAGCCACTTATGTAGAGCACCGAGGAACGCGATAGGGCAGGCCTCACAGTTTTCAGAAAACGGCACCCGGATTAATACATTCTCCCTCCGCGACGATGAAACCTCGGCCAGTCATCGAGTGACTCCAGGCGCCAGCTCCGATTGCAAATCGCACGAGTGACGATCGCACCCAAGCCAAAGCCGTGCTCTCCTGGGTCACGGGCAGACCAAGGCGAGCCTTGCAGGAAAAGGGTGCGGCAGGAGAACCGTGCAAAAGAACTCTGCCGACTCAAGGGCAGTAAGTTTGGAGTGGATGCAACCGTGCGCTGCACAGGACAACGAGCCATTTTCAGAGATTCACACCGCGGCGCCAGGCCATATTCAGCTTTGTTTTTTTTGTTCTGCTTCACGAGGCCTGGGAACTCTTTTCTGCACAACCGCGAACTCCCCCCTGCGCCGCGTCAATGCGCCCCTTGCTCCCCGCGCGTCGCATCGCTGCTCTATCTGGGCGGGCGTCGTCGGGCCCGAAGCACCTTCTCCTGCCTCCTCATCCTCCCCCTGTATCCTCTTCCTTTCCTCCGCCCGCTGGAGCGCGGGGGCGGGGGGGGAGAGTTTCCAAGGGCCGTACAGTCGGGGCCCTGAAGCAGGAACCCTTTTGGTTGGGGAGGGGCTCCGCGTTCCTTAAGCGTTTCACAGCTTGCCTCAGGTGTTCCTTATGTCTTCGACCGGAAATTTAAGGTCAACCTACGGAAAAAGGGGCCTCGTTCCTCACCTAGGGTTCCTCAGGTCAACGCCCCCACTGTAGATGGGGCGCCGCCCCACTGGCTTCTGCCTGCCCACGGCAGGCGGTGGCCTACGTCGTCAGCGGGATGTACGGCGACGTGAAGGCGGGGCGGCGAAGCGGGGTGGCAGCGGCAGGGGCGGCCGTGGGAGCGAGGAGGGGGAAGGAGGATGACGGTGACGAGGAGGAGCAGGAGGAGGAGGAGTAGGATTATGAGGAGGAGGAGGAGGAGGAGGAGGAGGAGGAGGAGGAGTATCAGTATGAGGAGGAGGAAGAGGAGGAAGGTGGCGGCGAAGGGGGGTACGCATGAGCTGGATGCTGATGATGCTGATGATGGTGATGGTGATGGTGATGGTGATGAGGGCGGTGGTGGTAACTGCTGATGGCGATACCGATGATGCTGATGATGACGACGATGATGGTCATGCTGATGATACTGATGATGACACTGACGATTATGGCGATGGCGATGGTACTGGCGATGGTGATGGTTGTGGTGCTGGTGATGGTCGTGGCGATGGTACTGATGCTGATGATGCTGATGATGTTGAGGATGCAGATGATGATCGTAATGGTGTTGGTGATGATGATGATGTTGCTGATGATGGTGGTGGTGATGATGGTGGTGGTGGTGGCGATGACGATGACGATGACGATGACGATACCGATGACGATGACGATGATGATGCTGATGATGCTGATGAGGCTATGATGAGGACGATGGTGAAGCTGATGACAATTCTGGGGATGACGATGATGACGACGATGTTGATGATGATGATGATGCTGATGATGCTGACGATGTTGATGATGCTGATGATGAGTATGCGTATGATGCTGATGATGATGCTGGTAATGGTGATGACGACTTCGATGATGCTGGTGACGATGATAACGACTATGACGATTACGATGATGATAATGAGGCTGCTGATGCTAATGATGATGATGGTGGTGATGATGTTGAGAAGGAGGATGCGGATTATGATGATGATGATGATGATGATGGTGGTGGTGGTGATGATGCGGCTGATGCTGATGATGATGCTGCTGATGATGATGCTGATGATAATGATGGTGCTGATGGTGGTGATGATGGTGGTGGTGGTGGTCATGATGCTGATGACGGTGATGGTGGTTGTGATGATGATTATGGTGATGGTGGTGGTGGTGATGATGGTTGTGGTGATGATGATGCTGCTGATGATGGTGGTGGTGATGCTGATGGTGGTAGTGGTGGTCATGCTGCTGACGATGGTGAGGGTGGTTGTGATGATGGTGATGATGTCGATGGTGGTGGTGGTGGTGGTGGTGATGAGGATGGTGGTGATGATGATGCTGATGCTGATGCTGCTGATGATGATGGCGATGATGATGATGATGATGATGATGATGATGATGATGCTGATGATGATGATGATGCTGATGATGATGATGATGCTGATGATGCTGATGATGATGGTGATGATGATGATGCTGCTGATGATGATTATGATGATGATGATGATGATGATGATGATACTGATTATGATGATGATGATGATGATGATGATGATGATGATGATGATGATGATGATGATGATGATGATGATGATGATGATGATGATGATGATGATGATGATGATGATGATGATGATGATGATGATGATGATGATGATGATGCTGATGCTGATGCTGATGCTGATGCTGATTCCGATTATGATGCTGATGATGGCGTGAGTTTGGCCAATGACGGCGAGGAGTCGGATGGTTATGACCGGGGCAGCAGGAGGAGGCAGACGATGAAAAGGTGGAAGCGGAGGAGGAGGAGGAGGAGGAGGAGGAGGAGGAGGAGGAGGAGGAGGAGGGGAGGAGGAGGAGGAGGAGGAGGGGAGGAGGGAGGAGGAGGGGAGGAGGAGGAGGAGGAGGAGGAGGAGGAGGAGGAGGAGGAGGAGGAGGAGGAGGAGGAGGAGGAGGGAGGAGGAGGAGCGAGGAGGGGCGGCTTCAGCAGAGACGACAGTCACCTCTACATGCCGTTGGGCTGTTCTCTTCCCTGTTTTGCCTTTCTCTGCTGTTCGATGGTGTCGCTGCCGTGCGACGGCATCTTTTCGCGGCCAAGTTCTTCTGCGAGGCGCTTCGCTGAGCAATTTACGTGGGGGCATTTTGCGGTCGCGGGTTGGGCTCTGAGTTTGACTTCCCGACTGATATGGGAGGGCATGTTGGGCTGGTAGCCCTTGCACTTGTGATATCATGGTCATGTTGCGGTGTCCAGGATGGATGATGAGGAGGAGGCGGCGGACAACGGGGTCGCGAGGAGAAGGAGGAGGAGGCGAAGGAGGAGGACGACGAGGAGGATGAGGTTGGGGGACCAGTGGGGCCAGAGCGAGCGAGACGCCGTGTGGCGAGCAGCGAGCGACAGGCGCTGCGCAGGACCCGCAGGACCCTCCGAGTGTGCACCGCAGCCGCACGCCCCGCGCGGCGGCCCGCACGACGGCCCGCGTCGGGTGCCCCCCCGCCGCGTGTCGGTCGGGCCCTCCCCTCGCGGTCCCGCCCCGCGCGCTCGCGCAGGACGGCCCCCGTGGTGCAGCCCGCTCGGGGGCCGAGCGCAGCCCCTGGTCTTGGAGGGGGCGCCCTTCCGTTGTGCGCAGTCTTTGGGGCTCTCCACCCTGGAGCGGGCTTCTCGCTCCGGGGTAACTGCGCCTCTCCGTGGGGCCTTGGCCCCTCGGCCACGGGGCTCGCGCTCTTGACCCACGTTTCTGTGGCCATGCTCCTGCTGCACAGCGAGCGTCGAGCACAAGCACAGGCAGCGTGCAGCAGGCGTCGGGGCGGCGGGCGCGGGCCGCGCGCGCCGTGCGCGTGGGCGGCGCCGCGAGGACCTGGGCGCCGGCAACGCGATCCTCATCATCATGCAGCTGTTCGCCGCGGGGCCCTCCCGGGGAAGCTGGGCTCTCTCTCCCTCGCCGAGCGCGTTCCACTACCTGCAAAGTGCCTGCTCGCAGACGTCCGAACAACACGTGTCTGCTCTGATGCGATTCATCGTAGATCCCCCTCGGGGGATCCAGGCCATTTGCGAGCAGTCACTTTGCGAGTGGTGGAGCACGCTCGTCTACTCCCTCTATCTCTCTTCGGGGGACGTCGACTGACCACCTCGCTGATCGTGGCCAGGCACTTGGGCCCAGGCTCGACCTTTCCAGGATCGGCGAGGTGGTCAGTTGACGTCCTGCGAGCTCGCGGCGGACGAAGGAGCGGGACAAGGTACAGTTGTCCGCCATTGGGGGCGCTTGTCCCGAGGCGGCTGGACGGTTTTTACCCCTGCGGTGGCACGTTGGACAGTTTTTGCTGTTAAGCATGCCGTTCTTCGACCGCCCATGCTGATTCACCCAACAGCGACACACGTGTGCGCCGTCTGGGTGCCGAGGCGCGGTCCTGTGGATACGCGATCGTGTGGAGAAGGTCTGCGCGGGTCATCCGCGCAGAGGCGCCCTACACAAGACATCCAACGCACGCGCTCAGAGGTCCGCGCTGAGTTCTCGGATCGGCGCTGGAGTCTTCTCCCTCGCACGTGGATCGCACGGGGGGCGCCGTTGGAGGCGCGTCGGGGGGTCATCGCTGACCCCAGGGATCCGCGCGAGCCTCAGGAAGATTATCCGGTTACCTGCGCAAGCCCCGCCACCGTGCCTGTGCAGCAGCTCAGCAGGAATGAGGTTTACCTTGAGCTTGATCGGGACTTCCCCTCTTCGTCTGCAGCCCCGTGCTCCTCGTTCTTCTTCCTCGTTCCTCATCTCTCGTCTCATTCTGCGTCTCTCCTCGAAGCGTATTGGAGGCTCCTCTGGGGCTTCTTGAGGGGGCCTCTTAGATCGGTTAGGGGGGGCTTTTGGTGGTGTGCTCGGGGTCTCTTGGAGCCCTCTTTGGGTCTTCTTGTGGTGCCGCTTAAGGCCTCTGGGGATGCCTAGGGCGCTTCGGGAGTTTTAGTGGCGATCTTGGAGGGAAAGGCTTTGGAGGCCACCTGGATTTCCCCCGGTTGGGCCCCATCATAGTTTGGGGGCCTCTTTGGCCGTCCTGGGGCCCTCTTGGGCCGTCTTGGGACCCCCGCAGGACGTCTTGGAGTCTTCCTAGGCTGCCTTGGGGCTTTCTTGAGGCCTTCTTGGGCTGTCTTGGAGCCCTCTTGAGAACGTTCCGCTAGCAGTATTCAACACATGAGTGTACCCTCTCGAGGGCCTCTTGGTCGCCCTCTTGGAGCCCTTCAGGACGTCATCTTGAGTCGTCTTGCGGCCATGTTTGGCCATCTTGAAGCCCTCATGCAGCGTCCCAAGGTCATCCTGAGTAGTCTTGGGGCCGACTTGGGGGCCTTCGTGGGCGTCTTGGGGCGAGCTTGGCTGTCTTGGGCCAGTTTGGGGCTGTCCTGGAGCCGTCTCGAAAGGTGTGTCCAAGAGCAAGTTCAGGGGGGGCGATGTTCGGAGGACCCGTCCACCCCGCCGCCTTGAACCCGAGGGAGTCAGGGAGGAGGGGGGGATGGTGGGAGGGGATTGTGGGAGATGGGACGGCGGGGCCCCATATGCAGCCCCAGCCTTGGCCACCGGCCAAGCCCCAGCCCAGGTCCAGCACAGACTTGGCCCCAGCTCCTTCCCCTACCCTGGCCCTTGGCATCGCTTGGACGTGTGCATTTTTCCTTCGGCGAGGACCATTGAGGAGCATCCTTGATCATTTGGCGAAAAAGCCACGCACGAAACCGAAAAAAGCACATGGAATGGACGTCCGAGCGATGGCGAGGGCCCTGGCCCGGCCTTCTCAGCCAGGCCAGGCCGGGGCCAGGGCAAGCTGGGGCCAGGGCCAGGGCCAGGGGTTGTAGCCGCAGCGTTGGCCCCAGCCTGGCCCTGGCCCAATCCCCAGGGGGGAGGCCGCCCCCGCGCCGCCCCGCTCTCGCCCCGGGACCGTGGCCGGCCTCGCCCCCCTCACCGCCGTGCAGCCTCCGCGCGGGCCACAGGTGGCACACATGGCCCAGGGGGGCGGCATGCCATCTGTGGATGCTCCGCGGCAGGTTCGCGCCGCGTCGACGCCGGCGCGGACGCTCAAAATGGAGGCCACCAGCGGCCCGAGCCAGGCCGACGGCAAAGGTCGCTCCAGGTTGAGCGATGTGCGCGACGTCGTCACAGCAGGAACCGGCCGTGGACGAGCTCCAGGAGTCGGAGGCGGCAAAGAGGGGGGTGATGCTTAGGGGGGGGTGGATCTCCTGGCGGGGGCCAGGATATCTCCCCAGATTTCATGGCGCCTCTTCTTGATTCGTTACGTCCCCGCCCGCCCCCTGGGCCGCGCACACGCCGACGGCCATGATTTGCGCCCCCCCCCCTCTTGGACGCCCCCCTCCTTGGTCGCCCCCGAAGGAGACGGGCTCGGGCCCAGGTCGCCGGCAGGGGTGCGGGGACGCGCTGCGCGCGTCGCGGCCTCGGCTGGAGAGGTGCTCCCTGCGGGTGGAGCAGGGGCGCGAGGGCTAGCGCGCTTCGGGCTCTCCTGGAGTGGCACTGGGGCGCGAAGGCCAGCGCGCTTCGCCCAGGGCCAGGCGCGAGGTCGGGTGGCCTGGAGGACTCGTCGTGGCGGTGGGCTCGTCGGTGTTCCTGGATAGCAGGCGTCGGCGAAGCAAGGCAAGCACCTCCTGCGCGCTCTGCGAGGGCGTTGCGGCAGAGCAGATCTGGGGCGGCAGGGTCATCGTGATCGTCCTGGACGAGCTGCTGCAGAAGGGCTATGGGCTCGGCGCGCTCCTCGGGAGCGGCCCCTGCTCGTCAGAGCAATCCGCTCCGTTCTCTTCCGCGCCCCTCTCCTCCCAGAGGAGGACGACGAGGCGGGGGAAGCACGGTCGGCCAGCGCCCGCGACACCTGGCTGGCCCGATCTTGGGTCTGGGCTCGGTGTGCCAGGCTTAAGGCGGGCCTGTCCCCCTAGAGGGGTAATTTTCAAACATAGTTTTTTGTTTTATTATTATTATTAGTATCATTATTATTATTAGTATCATTATTATTATTATTGTTGTGGCTGTTGTTGTTGTTATTATTATTATTATAATTATTATTATTATTATTATTATTATTATTATTATTATTATTATTATCATTATTTAATATTATTATTATTATTAGTATTATTAGTAGTATTAGTATTAGTATTAGTATTAGTATTAGTATTAGTATTAGTATTAGTATTAGTATTAGTATTAGTATTAGTATTAGTATTAGTATTAGTATTAGTATTAGTATTAGTATTAGTATTAGTATTAGTATTAGTATTATTATTATTATTATTATTATTATTATTATTATTATTATTATCATTAATTATATATTCGTATATAACAAGTTGGGGGTATCTTTTAACTACTTTTTATTTTTCGTCCAAAATCCCCCTGTAGGAGGACAGGCCCGACTCAATGCCAGGCCGGGAGTGCGGGGCTACAGCACTGGCCCAAGATGGGCCCGGCCAGGGTCGGGGCTGGAGTTTTTCGGGCCGGACGAAAGGGGGGGATAGGGAAAGGGGGGGTACGAAATTTGCTGCATGCTGTTGGTTTCGGCCCCACCGAGGGGCCCATTCCTCGATACATGGCCGCCTCCGGTGCCGGCGGCGCCGGGAAAATCAGCTACGTGAGCTGATTCTCCCCCCCCCCCCTTTGCTGTCCCCCCCTTTCGCCCAGCCCGAGCTTTGCGGGCGCTCTCCGAGACGGTGGGAGGAGGGGACGGGGAGGGAGAGGCGTGCCGTTTCGTCAAGCGGTGGCGAGCGTCCCAGCTTGCCTACAGGCCCAGCAGTTCTCAGGGCAGTTCTGGCTCAGGCCGTCTTGCTTCAGCACGTGGGCCGTGTTCTAAGAATCCTTTTGTTGTTCTTGGAATCTGCTCAGGTTCCGAGAGCACCTCGTGGTAGGCCTACAGGAATGCCAGGACTGTCGGTCCCTGCTCAAGTTTCGTGTGGCCCCCGAGGGGGGCAGCAAGCCATCCAGTCTCGCAGGCCTAAAGGTTGACACCAACACCAATATCGGCGGTGTGCCTCCACCGAGGGAAGAAGATCCCGATCTCGGTGATGGTGGTGATATTCTGGCTTCCAGGGTGACCGAAATAATATTGCCACCAGCACCGAAATCTAGGATCATCTTCCCCCTGTGGAGGCACCCCCCTGTGTTGGTGTTGGAGGAGGAGCAGGAGGGGGAGGAGGAGGAGGAGGAGGGGAGGAGGAGGAGGAGGAGGAGGAGAGGAGGAGGAGGAGGGGGGCCAGGAGGAGGAGGGGGAGGAGGGGGAGGAGGGGGAGGAGGAGGAGGAGGGGGAGGAGGAGGAGGAGGAGGAGGAGGAGGAGGAGGAGGAGGAGGAGGAGGACGAGGACGAGGAGGAGGAGGAGGATAGGCCTCCAACAGTCTCCGCAAGCCCCTTCGGACTCTGCGCTGCCGCAGCCGCACGGGCGCCGCCTCCCCGCCAACCAGGGAGGCTCTGCGCGTCGCGCCGCCAGGAGCGTGCAGGCCACGCCGCCCCCTCCCTTGCCCCTCGGGCCTTGGCGGGAGGGGGGGGAGATCTAGGCCTCAGTGGGCCCTGGAAACGACAGGGCCGTTTTTTTGCCGGTTCCGTTTTGCCGTTTTTTGGCCAGTTCCGACGCCGTTTTTTTACCGGTCCTGTCGCCGTTTTTTGACCAGTTCCGGCTCCGGTTCCAATCCTGGAGCTGTTTTTTTGCCGTTTCCGGTGGCCGTTTTTTTGCCGTTTCCATTTTCAAGGGACTTTTTTTCTGGAAACGGTGAAGCATTTGGACGCCCGAAATGGGTACGGAAAGAATGGGCACAATGCCCAACAGCTGTTCCTGTTCATTCTGAACAGGATTCGCTGGCCACGCCTCCGCGGCCTGTGTCCATTCGAGACAGGAGGCCGCCTGCCCAACAGCGGCCGCTGCTGGTTCGGGACAACATTTGCTGTTGGGCATTGTGCCCATTCTTTCCGTACCCATTTCGGGCGTCTAAAAAGCAGTGGCGAAGCGTCTTAGTTCGTCTTTAGGCCTACCGAATCATGTTCTAAGCACTTCTTGTGGTCTGCACGACATGCTCTCAGAACATTTCTGGCTGAGACTGTCGTGTTTAACACAGAGGGTATATGTTCTAAGAACATTTTTGGGTTCTAAGAGCGTGTCGTGGTAGGCCTATAGAAATGCCGGGACGGTCGGTCCCTACTAAATCCTGGACAGGGTCGGAGCACAGATGAGGTCGGAGGATCGCGCCGCACCGCCGATGCATCGACGATGCGGCTCGATGCGGAGCCCGATTTCTCCACGCCTACGTCGCCGACGCGTCGCCGACGTCCGCGATGCATCGTCGATGCATCGCCGATGCACTGGCGGTACTGCGCGATCCTCCGACCACAGCTACTCGGGCACCGCCCGCTTGCACAGAGTGGTGGTCATCCCATGAGCGGGTATGGGTTTATCACAAGCTCGAGCAGAAGATCTTCCTGCCGAGGCCACGGCCTCCACGCCATGCCTTGACGTGCACGGGCGAGCTCCCCAGAGGAGCACGCACGACTCCAGCGTTCGTTTCGGCGTCACCCCAGCATACTTATACTGCATGTGCGTCGCCCTCCCCAGGGGCGACGCGCACACCGAGAAACCTTATAGTGTATGCGTCGTGGCGGGCGCTTTCTGGCCACACCGCTCGGGAAACGACCTACTGCAAGAAGGGAACACTGCATGCTCGGCTCGGACGCGCGCTTCCAAGGAGGAACTCTAGCATTAGTACGTGCTCGGACCCCACTCTGTGCGTCCCAGTCGTTCGCTCGTTCGTGCCCGGACCCCACCCGTGGCGGCCTCTGCGAGGAGGGCCCCCGAGGCAGGCACAGAGGAAGGCCCACGGGGCGGGGGCACGAGCCGCTCCAGCGTGCTCCGGGGAGCGGGTGCACGGCGCCCGAGAGGCGGCCCCCGGGCCCGCGGGGCTCGCGGGCGGGCCCGACGCGCCCGCAGCCTCGGCATGGCTCGGACGTGTGCAGTCTTCTGCGGCGGGGGCCATCGAGGGGCACCCTGCACCATTAGAACAGGGCTAGGATCGGGATAAATCGCTCCAGAGCGTTCCGGAGCGCTCTCAGAGCGTTCCGGAACGCTCTGGAGCGGCCGCGGCGCCCAATACATCCTCCAAACCCGCCGATTCTCAGAGATTTCGAGTTATCCCGATCCGATTTTGTCCCGATCTTCGCGTCGTTTTAACCATCTTGTGAGCAAGAACATGCGCGCACAAGGCCGAGCAACGACACGAGGAATGGACGTCCAAGCGATGGCGAGCAGCCGAGCTCCTCCTGGTCCTGCCCTCGTCTCACGGTGGGTCGGAGACTGGAGCCAGTGGCGGGCGTTTTTTTCGACCCCGGGACTTTTTTTTGAAGGTCGGGGACGACGCTGGGGTGGTGTGGTGTATTCTTTTTGTCCCCCGATGTCCCGGGGAAGCAACGCAGCATGTATACAGCGGGACCCCGTATGCACCAGGCTCCGCCTTCCTGTGCGAGTTCCAGTGCGGGGCCAGAAAAAAACGTCGGTGTACACCCTGCTCGCCTCCAGGAGGCCCTGGGTTTCTTGGGTCACGCTGGTCTTGCCAGGGACAGCGAGGCGTGCCAACACCAAGAGTCCATGGACGTCCTGGGGTCTCAGGGTTGGGTTTCTCGTGGAAGGGTTTCTTGTGGACTGGCCTCCACTGCAGAGCAGGATGTCGACTTCGGCCAACCCGATTCCAACCTGATTCCGACATTCCGACCGAACCTGTGGTGCGGCGCTGCTCTGCATCTTGGCGCGGCCGATCCGATTCGATTCCCACTGCGCGCCGATGGGGACGGGGGCCGGGAGCCCAGCGGCGGCCCCATCCCCAGGGGGCCTCGCCGCAGCGATCGGGGCGCCTCCCGGCGCCGGGAGGCGCCGGGAAAACCAGCCACGTGAGCTGACTCTCCAACCTCCCCTTACAATTTGCCCCCCCCCCCTCCCCCCTCTCTCTCGCACAGCACTGACCGAGGCTCCGGCATCTCCCTCTTCATCGCCACGAACATCTGCGAGAGCATCGTGTGGAAGGCCAGGGCGGCCTCCTGGCGGGGGGGCGCCCCCGCGGACGCCCCCCCGGGGGGCCCACGCCTCCGAGGCATATATAGTGGGCCTCCGGGGCCCGGCGGGGAGGTCGGGGCCCGCGGCGCCGGCGGGGCCGCGCGCCTCCCCGTCGGGCCCTCGGGGGGGGAGACGAGAAGGCTCGACCCGAACAGTGTTTTCCGGTTTCGTTCTGTTCGCCTCCTCCTCCTCCTCCTTGTCTCCTCCTCCTTCTCCTCGTCTCCTCCTCTTCCTCGTCTCCTCCTCCTCGTCTCCTCCTCCTCGTCTCCTCCTCGTCTCCTCCTCCTCCTCCTCCTCCTCCTCCTCCTCCAACGGCTGTCTTCCAACGAGGCAGTTCCCTCAGTGGAAGTGGGCCCTTGTAGGGGCCTGTGAAGAGGGAGCTTGGAGGGAGGGTGTATTCCAGCATCCTTAATGACTCTTGGGTCTACACTGGTTCTCCTCCTCCTTCTTCTCCTCCTCCTCCTCCTCCTCTCCTGTTTCTGTTCCATCTCATCCCGACGTGCTTCCTGGATCTCTCGGCGGCCTCTGGGGCCTGGCGGCGAGCCGCAGGACCACGCGAGCGACGCCGAAACGGGTTCGACTGCGCCGACGTTTGCGCGCAAGCGGCTCGCGTAAGGTCTCGCGTGAGCGCCCTCGTCTCCACTGCGACTTTCCGCGAAGCCACCGCGCAAGGTCCCCGCGCCATCATCTCGCGTAAGACCCGCTTCTGATCGTCGACCACGCTGGGATCCGTGACGAGGGGCTCCCCCGGCAGGAAAGGGGCCATGACCTCCGAGGCCGCTCACTGAAAAATCGCATCGTTGGATGTCTGGGGAAGCTTCTCGTCTTTGCGGCTGGGTCCACGCTGATATATATATATATATATATATATATATATATATATATGTATATATATGTATATATATGTGTGTATAGATGTGTGTGTATATATATATATACATATATAGATGAATAAGTAAATATATCGGAGTAGGCCCGGGGGGGGGAGCCCTGGCCAGTGCCGTACCCCGCCCATGGGGGTATTGGAGGGGCCCCAGGGCTCCCCGGACTGCCTGGGCCCGTTTTTAAACACGCCACGACACGAGAGGGCCCTAAAGATAGCCAAGACAGCCCCACGAGGCCCCGGACACGCCGACGATGGCCTCAGGATGGCCGACGACGCCGCCAAAACGTCCCAAGAGCGCCTCCAGAGGCCCCTCTAAAGGGCCTCAGAAGCAGAGAAAGAGCGTGTTCTACCGCTGCTGGCGGAAAACCGGGGGTCACTACCGGTTCGAACCCCTCCCCCCCCCTCCGGAAAACCGGGGGGGGTCACTACCGGTTCGAACCCCTCCCCACCCCCGTTCATCATGAAAGGGGGGGGGGGCACTACCGGTTCGACCCGCCCCCACCCCCCCTCGAACTCGAAAACCAGGGGGGGTCACTACCGCCTCGACCCCCCCCGCCTCGAAAACCGAGGGGGGGTGCGGACAGTGGTGGGGACGGTGGTGGTGGGGACCGGTGAGGGGACAGCGGGACAGTGGTGGGGACAGTGGGACAGTGGTGGGGACAGTGGGACAGTGGTGGGGACCGTAGTGGTGGGGACAATGGTGAGGACAATGGTGGGAACAGTGGGGACAGTGGGGACAGTGGGACAGTGGTGTGGACGGTGGTGGTGGGGACAGTGGTGTGGGGACAGTGGGAATGTGGTGGAAACAGTAGGACAGTGGAGGGTACAGTGGTGGTGGCGAGGACGGCAGTGGGACAGTGGGACAGAGGTACAGTGGGGACAGTGGTGGGGACACTGGGGATTGTGGTGGGAACAGTGGGACAGCTCAGTGGGACAGCGGAGAAGTCAGTGGGACAGTGGGGACAGTGGGGATAGTCGGGCAGTGGTTGGGGCCGTGGAGAAAGTTGGGAGAGTGGAGCCGTGGTGGGAACAGTGGTGGGGACAGTGGGGACAGTGCGACAGTGGTGGTGGCACTGGTGGGGACAGTAGGGGCGGTGGTGGAACCAGTGGGGACAGTGGTGGTGAGGATAGTGGTGCTGGGAACAACAGTGGGGGATGTGGTGAGGACGGTGGTAGGGACCGGGAGTCGTTTGCTGGCGGTGAGAGGGGGGGGGTGGGGAGGGGTTCGAACCGGTAGTGACCCCCCCTCCGGTTTTCGAGGGGGGGGGGGTTTCGAACCGGTAGTGGGGGGGGGGGGGGGGGGGGGGAGGGGGGGGTTTTGGGGGGGGGGGGGTCCAGCAGGGGTGGGGGATTTTCGGAGGAGGGGGGGGGACCCTCGGGTTCCGGAGGAACAAGGGCGGCAATTTTCCACAGTAAAGCGGCGGTGGATCACGCTGTCTCGAAGCAGAACATAATAAGTTTTCCGATGGTTTTTGAAGCATATTTGCGCTCTCGCGTGCTCCGCCTCCCCACGGTCCCGGACGGCGTCAGAGGCCCTTCAGATCGCTCAAAGACGGCCGAAGAGGCTCCCAAGACAGCGCAGAAACGGCCCAGGAGGCTCCCCAGATAATTCAAGAGGGCCTCGAGAGCGCCCCAAGAGAGCCCCAAGAGCGAACCAAGAGTGCCCAAAGAGCGCGACACTTCAAGGTCTGCGGCCTGAGAGGCTCCTAGGACAGGCCCGGAGGCCATCAAGAGGCTCCCAAGCAGCCCCGTAGGTCCCCAAGGGGCCCCCAGGGAAGCCCCCTGCGGGCCCCCAAGGCACCTCGGCAAATCGTTTTTCCCAGAAAGTTTTCCGGGAACATGATTCCTTGGGCTTCCGCCCACCGCCCCAGCCATGTTTCCAATAGGCTTGCCGACAAGGCCAAAATGGGCCCCTCGGTAAGCCCCCAGAGGCCCCCCTCTTGAGAGAGCCGAACAAATCATGCTCACGGAAAGCTTCCCGGGAACATACATACATACATATAACGGCGCGCCAGGCTCGGGGGCCGAGGGCCGGAACCTCGACCGAAAATGTGGGTGCCGGGGCCGGGGCCCGCCTCTGGGAGGCCTAAAATCGCCCAGGGGAGCCCTCAGACAGCAATCCCGGCGGCCCCAGACGGTCTCGAGACACCCCCAAGACGTCGTCCAGGGGTCTCTGGCGACGCACGATGCGTCGGAAACTGCCCCGGAGGCCCCCCAAACGGAGGCCTTTCAGATGCCGCCCAAGAGCGCCCCGAGAGGGCACAATCGTTGATTTCCATTTGTTTTTTTACATTTTTTTTTTTTTGTTTTTGCATTCTCGCTGTTTCGTGTTTCCGGCGCTAAAGCACCGCCCAAGAGGCGCCCAAAACCGTGCCCAAGAGGCCCCCTTAGAGGGCCTCAAGACGACCCAAGAGAGGCCCGAGACAGCCCCAGAGCCGTCCAAGACGGGGCACGAGGGTCCCAAGAAGGCCCCAGGAGGGGCCCAAGCGAGAGAGAACGCGAACTGAAAAATCAAGCTCTCCGCCCCAAGATGCCCCCCAAAGGCCCCAAGAGGCCCCCAGGAAGCCCCCAAGAGGCCCCAAGGGGCCCCCAACAAGCCCAAAAGAGGCTCCAAGAGGCCCCAAGACGGCACCCAAAAGGCTTCAAAACTCTCTCTAATCAGCGAGCGAAGAACGGTATAAAATGAACTTCTTCGCCGTCGGGGACACCTGCCCCTGGGCGGCTGAACAGGTCATACCCCTACGGTGCCACCGGAAGGGTATAAACTTTCCAGCCGCCCTGGGGCAGGTGTCCCCGACGGCGAAAACAATTATGTTACACCGATCTTCGCCCGTCAATCTAAGAGGCCCCCGAAGACACACACATTTATAACCATACATACATACATACATACACACATACATACATACAAACATACAAACGTACAGACAGACAGAGACAGACAGACAGACAGACAGACAGACAGACAGAGACAGACAGACAGAGAGACAGACAGAGAGAGAGACAGACAGACAGACAGACAGACAGACAGACAGACAGACAGACAGACAGACAGACAGACAGACAGACAGACAGACAGACAGACAGACAGACAGTCAGGCATATATATATATATATAGATATACATATAAATATGTATATGTATCTATGTTTACGTGTATGTACACATAATACCACATATATATATATATATATATATTTGTGTGTGTGTGTATCCCTGGCTGGACCCGCGGCGGGGGGGGGGGCCCGACGCGCCATGGGGGTGTCGGGGCGCCAGGGACCGCCCAAGACAAACCCAACACAGATGAAAAGGGCAGCGAGAGGCCTCCAGGAGGCCTACAATCGCGGAAAGATATCGTCTAACACGCCCAAGATGGCCTCTGGATGGCCCGCACTCCCAGAAGGGCCCCAAGAAGCCAAAATCATTGATTTTCTTTTGGCTTTGTGTGCATTTTAGCGTTTCAGCCTTTTGGCATCCCGACGCTCCAAGACGGCCCAAGAGGCCCCCAAGACCGCTCCACAATAATAGCCGAAGAGGCCTCCAAGAGGACCCCAAGACGGCCCACGAGGCCCCAAGACAGTGCCTGAGGCGCCCAAGACGGCCCGAGAGGGCTCCAAGACAGTCCCAAGAGAGGCCCAAGAATGGGAACGCGAACCCAACAGCAGAGTTTTCCAGTCTCTCGCCCTAAGAGGCCCAGGAAAGGCCCCAAGAGTCCCCAAGTGGTCCGACGAGGCCCCCATAAGCCTCCCAAGTAGCCCCAAAGGGCCCCAATGAGACGTACAAGGGGCCCCAAGATTGCCCAACAGTGCCATCGATGCATCAAAACTGTCTGCAGGAGGCCCCCTGGATGGAGGCTTCCGGATTGCCTCAGTGTGGCCCCAGGCGCCCTCGAGTCGGGCCTCCACGCACCCAAGACGGCCAATGACGGCTTCAGATTGCAGAACATCACCTTCCGGTTGCCCAGAGAACCACGACGATGCTCCCAAGGGACCCTTAGAAACCCCAAGACGCCCCCCAGGAAGCACCCAAGAGGTGCCTCCAACCGCAAATTGAGGAAGCACGGAGAACCCCCCAGAAGACAGA